TAATCATTACAGATAATCTTGACCACGTGTAAACTAATGCTTTTCAAGATATGAAATCCGCTCTCTTGCATTGTGTACTCTCAAAACATGTGTATCACTCTCGCAGTGCCACAAATCAAAACAGTATTTTTGAAAGTCCCCTGGAAGTATCCTCATCACATCGAGTATAAGGATTATGTTTTGAGATGAGCGTTGAGGATCTGAACAGCTCAGAGGGCATGTGTTCGATTCTGTGTCCGTCCAAAATCTTTATTGAATTTCGGTGTCCTTGTTAGAGAAATTTGAAAAATACTGAAAAACTAAAGAGGGCCCAATTTGCACACAATTGTTGTCCATTAATTTTCTGATTGCTACTAATAAAGTTCTTGTAATCAATTAGAGCACTCGCAATGCACACGCATTGTCCGTTTGCTTATACATAGATTCTTACATATGATTTTTGCTCATTCACATATGAATTTTGAAGCGCTATTTCACTGACTGCTAATGAAATTAGAATCAGATGCGATGAGTTATTGCCGTGCACTGTGCACTCTTCAAACTGAAGAATAAATAAGCATGGCAGTCTGAATATTACCTGATATTCATTATCATCTTTCATGCAATTGAAAAAAATTCACTGGAATATTTTGATCATTTTGGAGATGTTATTTCTTTATCAACGAGAAGAAGTCATATCTTGGATACAAGCATCAATCGCATTATAGATCACAACCCTCGAACATGTCATATTTAGATTTTTCCTCATCAATTCTCTTGTTTCTGCCCATGTTCACATGTTTTAGNACTTTGCTCGCATTTTTGTCCATTTCATAGCTTTTATTCATAATGAAATTTAGTCATCAACCACTAATCGTATTTTGATGACTTCATTGGATGAGGTAAAGTTCATTTGCAAATAAGGAATATCAAATAAAGTACGTCAAATATAATACAATTATGGGCATTGAACTGTTGAATGCATTAAAAGCGTTTTCTTTATTTGCACATGAAATTCGATATTTCTGATTTCGAATAATCATTTATGGTGCCCACATTACAGGGGCCGCAACTTCACGTGTGATGTGAATCAAATGTGCTTCGCGCGCTCTCGCCCTAAACATTTATGTATGCCCAAACATTATCAGCTACATTCCAACGCTTTAAACTTCAACATATTCTGCAGAATTCAAAGAAAAAACACATTGCTGATTGGTAGCTTCCGATTCATAGGATATAGGTATTTGAAGTATCCATTCGAATTTAAATAAGTGGCTGAGCTTGTAGTTGTTGCTGTGACATATTTATGTTTCACGGAATATATCAAATCAAGTTGATATGATGTGATTACGGGAAACGATAATGGCAATAAGATGCACAATGAATAAAGGTAACAACTGCAAGTCAGTAAGAAATAACTCGTGATAACCAACCAACAGCAGTTCAACACCACAACTTTTATGGTTCAATTACGAGTTCAATTCAACCGCTTTCGCAACCTTATCAAAAGTTTAGGCTTACACTGTTCGCTCCCCATCCTTAGAACATCGGATCAGTAGATCGCATGTACGTACCTGTTATTTTGTTTAGCAGTAACGCATAATATCATGAGTGTTTCTTAGAATGAATATACTGACGAGATAATTGTGATAATATCTGTGAGATAATTTATTGAGATAAGTTTCACACTGTTATGTTGTTACTC